TAATTTTAATGTCGGGGAAGATAAATGCACCTTTAAGTGACAATTCAATTGTTCAAAAAGTTGGAAGTGTAATGTTAATTTGCACTTAAAAATGTACGGATTCAAACCCATTTTGGCTAAAATTGTAAAATCGGATGCTGAGAGCGCGAATCTACGAAAGCCCATTAGCGCCACTGCAAGTATATATGTTGCGGATTATTTAATTCGTTATTACGGATTATCAATTCGTTATTACGGATTACTAATTCGTTATAACGGATTATTAATTCGTTATTACGGATTATTTAATTCGTTATTACGGATTACTAATTCGTTATAACGGATTATTAATTCGTTATTACGGATTATTTAATTCGTTATTACGGATTACTAATTCGTTATAACGGATTATTTAATTCGTTATTACGGATTATTAATTCGTTATTACGGATTACTAATTCGTTATAACGGATTATTTAATTCGTTATTACGGATTATTAATAGGTCGCTGGTTCGAATCCGGCTCGAAGGATTTTTTTTAAAAATAACATTGACGCCATTTTCGTTTGCTAATTTCAAATCAATAGACATTAATGACGTTGTTCGAGACAAATTTATTGTGTTTTTTTTTTTTTAATTCTCATGATTAATTTTCTCCCAAAAATATATTTCGTAATCTTTGAATCAGGTGCAACAAAATTGACTTTAGGCTAAATTGCAAAAATATTGTTATGAACCCTTATTTCTCTCTCTTCAAAAATTATCATAAAAGATTTCACACCAGCACCAGGCTTGATAACAATCATTTCTTTCTAGCATATTTCTTCAACATTTCACGTCATCGTGTAAATGGTTAAAGAAAATATGCAAAGCATTCCACGCGACACAACGGTGAAAAATATGTCAATTTATGATGGTGCTTTGATTTGATCATGGAATTTCTAGACTTGTGTTGAGATTTTTTAATACGCCTGGTCACGGAGCAGGCAAGGCGAAGCCTCGTCTAAATACAAAAGAAAGAAAGAAGATATTTAAAAGGTTTCCTTCTAGCCAGATTCGAACCAGCGACTTATGGATAAATGTCTTCAGACCCTCAAATGCCTACATGCCTACAGCCCACCGCTCTACTAACTGAGCTTTACAGAAGGATACGTTCTGGTATCGGGTTATACAATTTTAGCTAGAAGGTTTTGAAGCCGTGAATTTTCAATGCGGTTTAAAATGTGCGCTTCCATCATTTTAATCTGAGTTATCACGTGAGGTACATTTATCTTCCCCGAAATAAAGTGGACTAAGGAATTTCATTTGAATGTAAAAAGCAAATCATTTGCAGTGGTCCGAATTATTTTTAACTTTACTGAACGTTAACATCTATGCATCCTTCGATAGCTCAGTTGGTAGAGCGGTGGACTGTAGGCACGTGAACACGTGACAAGTTCTAGGCATTTATCCATAGGTCGCTGGTTCAAATCCGGCTCGAAGGAAAGGCTTTCTATTTTCGACTCATGGTAGACAGTAGTGATATTATTTTTTAGCAGGCGTGGGGTTGTTTAAAACAAATGAAATTTGAGGGGAAAATTCGAGACTTAATTTTCGAAGTTCAAGTGCAACAAAACAAAACAAATCGATTATTTTTGCAAAGCCAGTGAAAGAAACTATTTAGCACTACACTGTGAAAAAAATCACTTGTTGAAAAGTGGTGGCAATGTTTCTCTACCCGACGGTTGTTATGGAATTATTAGGCCTACCTCAGTTGTTGATATTTCCAGTTGATTCCTTTTATCAACTTATAGGAAGAATTAATTGCCAAAATATACAGGCATTTGAAATTTTTACCATCTTTCGGAGCAACTCTTCCCATTTTAAGGATGAAAATACACTCCTATGCACTTCTTAGCACACAAATCAGAAGTAAAAACAATGGATACCAACCATCACAAAACCTTTTTTCAGCTTTATTTCTTTCTCCCCAAAATATCTAAGACAATATGCAATACGTAAAGTATAATTCATTCCTCAGTATTAATGTCGATTGATAATAATTCCGAGAGTTGGTGTGATGTGTTGGCAAATATTATTAAATTTTTTTACCAACTTTTTGGGGAGAATCCGTTGTCCCAAATTGCAGGCAGCTGATATCTTTGCGATTATGTTGTGCTAAGAAATTGAGGAACAATTGTCAATTGACTTTGAAAATAATCATGAACTAGTCACATTTAACCGCTTGACACAGAAAATCTGTTTTGTGAAAAACAGGGAACCATCCAAAATATGAAACTAAATTGCGGGACAATTTTTTCCACTGAAGATTATTTTAAATGTGCATCCGTGAGCATGTTTTGAATGATTTTCTTTCAATGCATTATCCAACATCTCCAGAGCCCGGTTAGCTCAGTCGGTAGAGCATCAGACTTTTAATCTGAGGGTCATGGGTTCGAGTCCCATACCGGGCGGAGTTAGTTCCTTTTGTCTTTTTGTTGCATGAGCCAACATCCAGGATGGCTGCTCTTGTGAAACAAAGACCCCTTTGCGCCGCTCGAGTGTGTTCTTGACGGGCGGTTTTGAATCGCTTCAAGTCGTCAAAAAGCTAAGTCACTTTTAATACACTGCTGAAAAATGTTTTGATACTGCAGCATGTGCTCTCATATAATTATTCAAACTTCACTTGTTTCTGTTCAAGATGAACAGCAATGAGATAAAGGTTTCCGGCAGGACCATGTTGCAAATCTCTTTTGTGAGTTTGTGAGGTTCTGAAAATAGTGAAGCGCGTGAAGGATTCAACTGTGGAGTCTTGTAGTCTTCAAATTTGTTATCTTATCTTCAAAGTTTAAACGGGGAGGACGGGAGCCCACGGGGAGGGGGGGGGGGGAGAAGGTGCCCCCGTGAAGTTATTGAGGGGGATTAACCACGCGTAACCAGAGTTAAACATCTGTGGAAAAACTGGGGTGCATGATTTGTGTGTTTTGTTGAGGGGGGGGGGGGGGCACCGGGGGGTGGGGACGGTGCACGGACATCCGCTGGGGGGGGGGGGGGGAGCCCAACACACAATTTAATGCGGGGTCTGCATCATTGCTTTCAAGTTTGTATTGCAATGACCATTGACAATCTCGCCAAGTGCAACTTATAGTTTTGGGGTTTCAGGAGTTTCAGCGCTTGGGCTATCCTTATTTCTTACCCAGTGTTCCCAAGTGAGGTAAACCGGAAAGTTTCCGTGACAAAACGTATGTTTCAGATTTTGTGTTCACCGAGAATTGTCGAAACAGGGATGTTTATGTAAACTGTTTAGTTTCTTTGTGTGCCAGCTATAGGTGTTTACATATACGCGTTATTGCGGTAAAAACTGTTCTATGCAGACATCGCATAATTTCAGATCTGAGTGCATGATCTTCACCGCCTAATTTGTCGAAATAATTCGTTTGATTTCGGCAACCTTCCTCTGTGGTCCCAAATTAGTCGAACAACTAATGACCAACCAGTCAATCGAACAACGTGAGACAAAATATTTGAAACTCAGCCGGGATATTTAATATCATCATTATTATCTATCCACCTGCAAAAATAAAACGTATTGGAAGGTCACATAACAAAACTCTTTAAAAAAATACTGTCGTTCTTTGTGCGGGACTACAATTGTTTTCAAAACGTGTCTCAAAAATAAAAATTTACAAGTTTTCATGACATAATATATTTAGAGGTAAAAGCAAAAGATTCATAAAATTAATTAATGAATGTATATCTTCGTAAAAAAACCTTTTAATACGGCGCTATTACAAGATCCACCCTCCCAATGTCTGTAACCTACCTACTTTATGAGAGCTTTTATTCAATTAAAATTTAAACACATTTGTTGAGCTGTCCCACCAAAAAACAAATAAGCAAACAACAAACGAAACAAACAAACAAAACCAATTGATTCTATGGTAGCTCAGTTTGCAGAGATTTCATTTTTCAATTAAAAAACTAAATTTTGTTTTCATTATGTGGAATAATTTTGGCCTATGTATAACAAAAGAAGTTCAAGTTATAAAGCCAACATATACTTTTTAAAGCTGTTAAAAAAAATTCCCCTATATTACATTACACTTATGCCTTATCAGCCTCCAGTAAACTCAGCCCTTTCTACAGCTTTCAAAAAGCAAAATAACGAACGCTTAATGCACAAAACAGCACGCACTGATTGAAAATCACAACCAAAAAAAAACTACAAGAGAAAAAAGTTAGCGAAAGGACGACTTTTAGAGTCACACAATGTACAGAATTCAGTGGTATGTATTTACCATAGAATGTTAAGTAACCTACACAGATTGCCTCACTTTTTAACTACAGTTCGGGTTTTTCTGATCATAAAGCCTTTTGAAAAATGCCCTGGTTTTCCATACTAATGAAAATATCAATACCTTTTTTGGAATGTCCTTGAAAATCTCACTTAATATACAATGGTTCTGTAAAGAACTTTGAGGAATTGCTTTAATACCTTGAAAATAATGATAAAATAGCAAGGCACTTATAATGATATTTACAATGAGAGCATAGCACTGTAAAAATGTTTCAATACTGGAAAATTTTCACAAGCACCATCGTCTACTTGCATTTAACCCTGTACCTGACAAATTCAGCGATTTAAAAGTCAATAGCATAAGTGGAATTGCTTTGTTGACTGGGGTGAAGGCCTACGGTTTAATTTTTGGCCTTTAACTGCTGGGTTGCTGACTGGGATATGGGCTTAGACTGCTGGGTGGCGACTAGGATGTGGCCTTTGACTGGCTGGTGGCTGACTGGGATATGGCCTCTGAATTGGGTGGCTGACTGGGATATGGCCTTTGACTGTTGGGTGCTTGACTGGGATGTGGCCTTAGTCTGTTGAGTGGCTGACTGGAATATGGCCTTGGACTGTTGGGTGGTTGAATGGGAAATGGCCATTGTGGCGTGTTGGGCGAGTGACAAGGAAATGACCTTTGACTGTAATAAGTTGCTGGGTGGGATATGGCCATTGACTGTTGGGTGGCTGACAGGGATATGGCCTATGACTGTTGGGTTGCTGACTGGAATATGGCCTTTGACTGTTGCGTGCCTTACTGGGATATGGCCTTTGACTGTTGGGTGCTTGACTGGGATGTGGCCTTAGTCTGTTGAGTGGCTGACTGGAATATGGCCTTGGACTGTTGGGTGGTTGAATGGGAAATGGCCATTGTGGCGTGTTGGGCGAGTGACAAGGAAATGACCTTTGACTGTAATAAGTTGCTGGGTGGGATATGGCCATTGACTGTTGGGTGGCTGACAGGGATATGGCCTATGACTGTTGGGTTGCTGACTGGAATATGGCCTTTGACTGTTGCGTGCCTTACTGGGAGATGGCCTTTGACTATTTGGTGGTTGACTGGGATGTGGCACGTGACTGTTGGACGGCTTACTGTGATATGGCCTTTGAACTCAGGAAGGTTGACTGGAATATGGTCTTTGAACATTGGGCGAATGACTGGTATATGGCCTTTGACTCTTGGGTTACTGGTGGGATATGGCCTTTGACTGATAGGTGACTGACTGGGATATGACCTTTAATATGATATGGCATCTTCTGTTGGGTGGTTGACTGGTACATGGCCTTTGACTACTGGCTGGCTTATTGGGATATGGCCTATGACTGTTGGTTGGTGGACTGGGATATGGCGTGTGACTATTGGATGGCAGACTGGGGTATTGCCTTTAACAGTTGGTAGGCCGGCTGGGATATGGCCTTTGATTGATGGGTGGCAACTGGGATAAGGCCTTTGATTGTTGGGTGGTGACTGGGATATGGCCTTTGACAATTGGATGTCTCACTGGATTAGTGCTTTGTGCTACTGGGTGGGTGACTCAGTAAATGCTTGTACTTTCGGGTAATGGCCTTAGACTGTTGGGAGGCAGACCACGTTACGGCCTCAGAAGTTTGAGTAGTTGACTTGGATATGGTTGTCGACTGTTGGATGGTTGACTGGGAAATGGCCTTTGACTGTTGGGTGGCCAACTCCGCATTGGAATGTTGGCTAGTTGACTGGTTTCCCGCCACTGCCTGTTGGTCAGTCAACTGGGATACCGTCTTGTTCTGCTGAGTGGCTAACTGAGCTACCTCCTTGCTCTGTTGTACAGCTGACTTGTCAACGGCTTTGTCATGTTGGGCGAGAGTCTTGCTCTCAATACTGGTTGTGACTGTGTTATGATTGGCTGCCTGGCTGACTGCACTATCTTGTTGGGTAGCCGATCTGTCAACATATTCAAATGACGACCGAGGGAACATCTTCATCCTTATGCGAGGTGAGATAGATGACAAGATGTCCAGATAATCATCCTTTAAGACTTCCCAGCTGTACTGTCCCACGTCAACCTGCGTGTCAATTAAGAACATTTGTTCTGTAAAATTCCGTGGGCCTAAATATGAAGTATACTATGAAATTTCTAAAGTTGTTACAACTGATGCTTCTCCTGGCAAAATAAAGTGACATCTGACAAACAGCAGAATATATTTAAAAAAGGTATGTCCAGTAGAGTGAAATACATTTCAGAAAGAAAACTTTATCAAAGAACAGCAACGAGCAGTGTAACACAATATGTTTTCTTGATAAGGTTCAATGTATCTTTACTTTCCAAATTGGGATTATGCAGGTAGCACTCAAATTACATCAATAAGCCAGTTTGGTATCTTAACGAAGCAGTCCAGGTCAAAGGTCATTCAGGATATAATAATGACGGACGCGATGTTACAAGAACGCCCATTCTACTCTGTGGACTACACTGAGAAAATGACAAAGTGACATTTAGGTCCATCAATGGGGTTGCGGAAACTTTAAAAGCTCAAGTAAAAAAAACCAACAACTTTTTCCCGATGAACCCAAAACTTGGGTTTATCAGGAAAAACATTGAATAAGCTTTCCAAAAATGTATAGAATATGAGAATAAGACAAAATCTGACAGAGTTATAGGTCTTTTGTGTTCCCAATGTTGGGCTTTGGAAAGTTTGTTAAAAATGTAGAAATTTGTCATGAAAGTTTCCCCAATGATCAAACCTTAGGAAATTAACAAATTGACTGCACTGAAAGTGAAATACATTCCTTGTTTCCAACGCCTTACTCAGAATTTCAATTTTTTTTTTGCCTGTACAATGTATTACAGGCTGTCTCGTAAAATATGGTCGTGCGACTTCTGGCTGGTTTTGTGCTGGAGGGCGACATTGTACACACACCTGGAGATTGTGTTTCCTGACGAGATGCGGGTGTCTGCAAAACTCTCTCAGTCTCTTAAACAACTGCTGGGCGGTGTTGTACAAATACTCTTCTGTGGGGTGGACATGGTAAAAAAAAAAGGCAATGGATATTTGACTGTGACCCGTCGGTTGTTTTTAGTATTGTACCGGCATATTGACTGTATTGACTGTTTTTTGGGACTTTAAAACGTGACAAATCTTTGCTAACATTGCCGTTGTGACTTCGTGTTAACATGATGGGAATTAGACCAATCGCAATTTCGGACTTTATTTACCTTTTTTAAAAAAAATTCTCAAGAGCCACGAATCAGAAAAAGGAGATGAGATACTCTGCACTTAAAATGTAGGATTCGATTTAGAACAATAACGGAAAATAATTCGTATTTTTTGGGACACAAAAAATAAGTTTCAAAATTATTGGTCATGCTGGGACTCAAACTTGACTGCGGCATTGCTTGTGAGGCGGGCGCACTATCCACTAGGTGCTATCCATCTGGGTATTGGAAAGTCAACGCTGCCATTGTAGTAGGCAACGATCGTATAGTGCACCATGCAGTAGGTAGTAGGCAATCCTTCAAAGCTGTGATGTATAGCACAAACTGTGAGAAAAACGTAGAGCCACCACCCAGTGTTGGGTCGGCATGATTATGACAACCGTACACAGCACAAATAGTGACCATATTGGCATTTGATCAAGAATTCACAGTTACTTTTACGTGAAATAAGCCCTACCGTCTAATTTACAATGCAGGATATGGTTGCTAACAAGACCCTTGCCTACAACAGTGGCCAATCACATGGAAACCTATACCCTATCCAGTACTTTTGATCTTTCTTTCTCTCGTGCTGACATGTGCTGACAATTAATAAAAGGTCTGTTGCACACGCTCAACTGTTGATTTTGGATAAAAGGTACTTTTCTTACTGGGAAATATTTCAGGGTAAACCAGGCAATTTGGGCAGAGCGGGTAACACCTCAAATACACAGCTTCCAACCTGTAAGATCACAGAGAAAAATTGAAAGAATTTTTGGTACAGGAAGTAAAAATAAACTATGCAAGTAAACCTTATATATGACTTGAAGCTTTGCATGGCGGATGACATAAAGTAGAAAGATTGCGGGTAACGCCATGTGGAAAGTAATCTCTTCTTGGAAGAAGTGTGGTTCTGAAAAGAACCGGTTGGATGAGTGTAGAACTCGACGTTTCGGACAGTGTGCTCTGTCCCTCCTCAGCCTCAGGAGGACGAGTCACACAACCTCCTGAGGACGGACAGAGCACACTGTTTGAAACGTCGAGTTCCACACTCATCCAACCGGTTCTTTTCAGAACCACACTTCTTCCAAGAAGAGATTCCTTTCTACATGGTGTGACCCACAAGTTAACCTTAGAAGTAAAACACATCTAAAATACATAATTCCTACTTAAGACCATTTTTCTTTACTAAATTCCAACACTTTGTGGAATCGTTTGCTCTCCCATGATGCCCAAAAAAACACCCCAAAACTTTGTAGAATCAGACGAGGCAATCACACATCAGAGTGTTCCAGAGTGTTTCAGAGTGTTCCAAACTCGTGGCTGCACCACGAGTTTGGAACACTCTCCCAAGAGACATCCAAACATCTCCATCACTGCAGTCCGTCATGTCCAATCTTAAGACCTTTCTGTTCACCAAAACCTTTTCATAACTTTCTCATGAACCCAACCTTTTGGTTTGTTTTTGTTTTTGCTTTTCATTTGTGCACCTTGGGTGTCCTTTTGGACAAACAAGTGCGCAATATAAATGTTTAATTATTATTATTATCAATCACAAGTCAAATCACATGTCGGGTCATAAGTAACAGGGGATGACAAACAAAATGCCTGTGTCAAAGTGCACTTAAAGAGTACTTGTTCACGCTTTCATCACATCCAAAATTGACATGGGCAATTCACTATTGTATGGCATTAACCTAAATCAACTAAACCGTTTGCAGCGACTACAAAACATCAGTGCCAGACTAATCTCTCTCACTAGTAAACATTCTCACATCACTCCTCTGTTAGCAGATATCCACTGGCTTCCAGTATCATACAGAATCAAATACAAACTTGGCCTATTCGTGTACAAAATCCTCCACAACAATTCACTGGAGTATCTCATCGACCTCATCCACCCGTACTCAACAGCACGCACCGGACTCCGCTCATGATGCTTCACGAGCCCAGGACCTCCACTCTTTGGGGTGACAGATCCTTTGCTGCAGTGTCAGCCCGAGTGTGGAACCAACTCCCTCTGGCTATCAAATCATCTCCATCCATCACAACATTTAAGACAAACATAAAATCTCACCTGTAAACTAAGAAGCAAGCTTACTCTCACAACATACAATCCTAACTTGATTTTCTCCTCAAGCGCCATGAGCGCCTTTTTTAGGCGGATACCAGCGCTTTACAAATGTTCTTTATTATTATTATTATTAAAGAGCAAGTCACTCGACTTGAGACTTGATGACTTGTGAGGACTTTATATCAACTCTTAAATCAAATAATGTAATGAAGCTTTCACATATTAAAACCACGAAGGAAAACTGACTTGGTGCATAATAATATATATTTTTTTAAAGTCCAACAAAGAAATTGACTGGAGCGAGGCTTGAACCCGGGACCTTTGAGTACCATTCCCGTATCCTCTTTGAGTGATCCCCGTTTGCTATTTGACGAGTTTGCAGCAGTGCTAATGTTGTTAGCATTGTGACCTTGGGTATGACCCCTGGCTACTTAGCATATGGGTTTACGGTTTCTCACTAGTGCCCCTTGAACAAGGCCATTGAAAAAAATGAGGAACCCCCAACATAGGGGTGGACAGGTCATGCTTGCAGCGCACCTGAACGGTAATCAGGAGGTCGTAGGTTCTAACCCTGCTCCAGATATTAGTTCATTGCTCCAGTCATTAGTATACAAATAATGAATGTTTGTGAGTGCAATGGTAAGAATAATTTCATGAGGTGACAGATGAAATGTTCCATTCCACGAGGGGAAGCCGAATGGAATGGAACATTTTCATCTGTCACCGAATGAAATTATTCTTTCCATTGCACGAACGTGAAACATTCATTATTTGTTTTATATAACACATGAATAAATCCTTGTCATCTGATTGGTTGACTTTTAATAGCCAATTGATTCAGGTTAAAAACTGTTTAAAAGTTCGACAAGTTCATCATATTAAATTTATGCAAACTGTTCAACAGGCTGAGAACAATCATATTCAATTTATCTCGATTTAAAACAGCGCCACCACCAGCAGCAGTGACACAGTGCAATGGAAGTACTATTCAGCGTGCAATAGAACTTCCATTGCACTGTGCGCTGCGCGCCACGTGCGTGCGCCATGCGTTGGGACGAATAATTCAATGACATGTGATCAACAATCCACCAATCAGATGACGGGGATTTATTCAGGTGTTGTATAATTTAAAATATACACTAAAATGAGTGATCGTTTGTATCAAATAAGGTCTCTGAATAGTAAACACAGACATAATGACTCACATTGCCACACCAAAGAACTCATGGTCAGCCGTAGACACAGCCACATCAGCAGCGAACAGCACACGGTAGTAGTCTTCCTTGCTGGACTGGTAGCCCCAGTAGACAATCCGGTCCTCTAACTTGGCTTTGGCTTCAGCGAAAATGTCTATGAGAGGAGGGAAAATAACAAGTCCTAAATAAAGGGATTTCTGAGCTTTGAGGGTTAAATGATAACCGACATTCAACCAAGTTTGTACTTCATGTAGAAATTAAAATGAAATGAAGTGAATTAACAGGGGTGTGAGTGACCACTGACAAAAATAGCTGAAAACAGCTGAAAAAGTGTAACCAAGCTGAACTTTGGAAATCTCCTATACTTTTGAACACAGCAAGTGAGGGGGAAAAAAGCTGGAATCCAAAACAAAAAAAGCTGAAATCAACTTCAAAGCTGAGATTTCACACCCCTGATTAAGTGATGTAGCATCTGCACCACATGTGTATTAGTCTGGCCCAGCTTTTTTTCATTTACTTTCATGATAAATGGGTAAGCAATAAGTCAAGTCTGTGTGAAGATCACAGGGAATGGAGTGAAAGCATGAATAAAAGAGTGGGAACAGACCAAGAGGGATTAAAGGTATAGTCCATCATTTGTAATTTGTGCATTTTGTTCATTTGGAGCAACAATAGTGCTGAACAAGGGTGCTGAACAGCAAACCTGATGAAGTTTCAGCTCAGCTTCAGCTGTATATTTCGAGAAAAACAACATTTTAGGATCTCGATTTCAAATCAAAAGTTGCTGAATCATGTTTTGAATCGGGCCTGAATTCAGCGCCCGAGACACATTCTCACTGAGCCGATTGCAGCTACATGATGTCGCGCACCGATCCAACGAATTATAGCAACCGCACGCGCGTGTGCGTCGTGCCAATGCTTGCGCGCACTTCGCCTATTGAAAAAAACCCAGAAATCTCCAACGGTGCTTCTTAAGACGCACCGCTGGAAAGGCCTTCTCTCGTTGATTTCTTCAAAATGACAGCTTGTCAGAAAGAATAATTTCACAGAGAGTTTAGTCCTCTTACTATCTTTCAACCAAGTATGTTTTTCAATAATAATTACGCCAGTTACTTTTTGGACAGCTGCAAATGATGGACTGTACCTTTAATAAGGGGAACAGACCAGCGAGGTCGAAGAGCAAAGGGAATGGACTAGAATGAACAAAGGAGTGTGGTGGTGGGTAAGAGACAAAAAGGAGGAATGGGTTACAAGGAGAAAGAAGAATTTACATCAAGATTAGAACAAAATAAGCAGTTATAATGTTCATCATGTCACATAGTAAATTGGTAATTCTGAATAAAATTTGTTATGAATTACCTGGTACTTCGGTGAACTGTTCCCCTAAAACAGAGACTTGGAATTCCAGGCCCATCTCATCGAGCTTCATCAAGGTGTCGAAGAACAGTTCCGGATTTTTGTCATGTTCCCTGTGAGACAAACGATAACAAAACATTTGAGACAACAAATAAATAAAACATGTTTTTAGTGTACAACTACGACTGTGTTGCTTTTTTTTTTCAACGTGATTCAAATTTTTGAAAAAACAGGAAGACTGTTTATGTTATTTGTCCACATTTTCAAAAATACACCTTTTCATTTTCTTGGCTAAATCTGCACTCATACACTTGAAAATTTCATTTTACGCAACTAATAATGGAAATAATACTCAATTGAATAGTTCTGCTCCAAGTAATTCTTGTTTTTAAGAATCACACATGGTTACATTCAATTTTCAGATTTTTTTTTTCAAAAGTGGACAGTGAGTGCATCAACGCTAAGGGAGAAAGAGAGAGTATCAGGGTTGACTCACTTGAGTCAAACCCGAGTCCGAATCTGAAGTCACTTGGGTTGAGTTTGAGTCTTGAGTCGCTATATGTGATTCCCGAGTCACATGTCACTAGCGTCAAGTTTGAGTCATGATGGTCGAGTCCAAGTCTTTTGCCGATGTGACTCAAGTCGAGCCCGAGTCACCAAAATTATGACTGGAGACAGACTTAGGCCCTACAACACTGCAGACAGTGACAGCAGGGAAGAAAGTCTAGTACTTTCAATGAGATTGCAACACCATTGAGACTATGAACAAAGGTATTTTTTTTCACTTACCATCTGTGAGCCCAGAGTATATGGAGTGGTTTCTCCGAGCTGGTTCGCCATATGGCTCTCTTGTCTCCTGCAGCCATGGGACCCCCATCTTGTGACTGGGCCGAGTCATGTAGCTGAGCCGAGTCAAGTGAGTGGGCCGAGTCATGTGACTGGGCCGAGTCATGTGACTGAGCCCTCTCACGTGACTGAAAGGCAGAATCCTCTGTGCCATCAAGACTCCTGCTTTCCACGAGTTTCTGCTTCTGCCTCGTCCCCACGTTCTCTTTCGAGACTCGCCTCGCGCAACGGAAGTTCCCAAATTTTGGTCGCGACGAAGCATCCCCCGAAGCCTGGTCATGACTGTCGGAATCATAATCCACGGATGAGGACTCGGAGTTGGATTTATCCGGGAGCCCGGCAGTTCTTGGTCTGTCTTCGCCTGTGCCACCCGCCAAGACTTCACTTTTTGCGCGCCTGATGACGGGCTGCTTAGGCACGAATGGCCGGCAGCCCCCGGGCTCCCCCGGAGAAACGCTTTCCAACTTGGGTAGCTGCAAGGGGAAGTACAGGACTCGGCACTTGGGCCCGATGGGCTTGTGCATGCCCTTGGACTTGTAGCCCGGCACGGGAATCATGCCCAGGAAGGAGTCAACGCCAGACAGGAAGGACTCCATGTTGTAGACAGAGTTGAAGAGGATGGTATCTGCAATGAGGCTGATGGGGACATAGGACAAAAAGCAATGTCATCAGTGCCATCTTGTGTCCAAAATAAAGAGGCTAATGAAGTAATAAAAGATGTAAGAGCTGAAAGAGCTAGAGGGATTAATACCAACAAAGGTGTAAAATTAATTTCACCAAATGAAACATAGTTAGAAGAAAACATTCCCCGTTTTATTACACGTTATTTATTGCCCACATTAAACAGAAATCATTAAAACTTTGAAAAACATCCACAAACATCCAACTGTGTAAACAGGCCTGACATTGTTTTATAATTAAAGAAATAAAATGTCAAATAATGCATGTGAAAATCAAGATTTAGAGGGTTCAGTATCCTGGTTGAGGTACAATGTGAGATATGATTATTGATAACTGTGACAAGCCCGGATAATATAAATCACATAAACTCAAAATGTACCATGAGATGATCTGATTGTAGCCATACTGGAAGTCCCGATCCTGTTGCTTCCTGATTGGGTAGACCAGTTGATTCTCATGGAAGTACAAGACTTTATGCAGGCCGGCCAGGTCTTTACGCATGGCGACCAACTCGGCCAGATTCAAGACGCTACTGGCAAACAGGACCCTAGGAAGGAACAACACTCATAATGTTGGAGGAATTATAGCCTCCGTAATCAAGTACCCCCTCTAGTATAGCTACATGCACAAAGAGAAAGATTGGATTTATCACTTAAAATCAATCAGAATCTGTGGGAGAGGTGTTATAAAACAAATATTGACTGCTTTATCTCGTGGTGTAGTAAAACTAGCCTCCCTCGGTGATCCATGGAGCATTCTATTTTCCCTCGGCTTCGCCTCGGGAAAAATTGGATGCTTCATGGATCACGATCGGGAGGCTAGTTTTACTACACCACTCGAAGCATTTAATATTTGTATACTATACTCCGTACAATAGACTGATCCAAATAGGGTCGGTCAACTGCGCACGTTGTCAAAACATATGCCTGTACGTCCAACTCCACACCATGCATGTATGCTCAGCCGAGCACGTTAATAACGCTTGCAGTCAAGACTTTTGTGCACTCATGTCGTACATACATGTAAATCATGACTGTGATTGGTCCAATCACGATGGGCGGGGCTTAACGGATCAGTCTATTGAATGGTCAGAAAAGAAAGAGAGGCGTGGCTTGTACTGGCTCCACCCACCTGTAGTGCTCGCTCCTGGGAATGACCTGAGCAAAGTGGAGTGCGGACGTCCTGGCCTTCCAGTGCCATTTGGTGGCCGGCAGCGTGTACTTGACGCAGGAGGTTGCTTTGTCTATCAGCAGATCAATCAGCTGCTGGTGGGAGCCACCGTAGAATGGTTCAATGATCAGGGTATGGTAGACTTCGTTGAACAGGGGATCCATGCTGATGTCAGCTGTAGAGAGAAATATATAATTACTGTCTTTTATTAACAATGACAATAGGGGAACAAATGTCATTGGGAAAATTGCATAATGACACCATTGCTGTAGTCAAGTACATTACAGGTAAAATGAGGCGGAAAGCTTTTTGTGTGTTAACCATGGAATCAAACTTTTCTGTGATGTAACGCCATTCTGGAAAAAAACGGTGGTGAGTATGGAAGCTGCCATAAATAGTTTAACTGATTCAAAACATTTTTCATTCCATTCGGCAAAATCCTCATTCAATTTGGTAGATTCATCCTTCTGTTCAGCAATTGCATCATTCCCTTTGGTAAAATCATATTCCACTTGGCAAATTCATCCTTCCATTTGGCAAATTCATCCTTCCATTTGGCAAATTCATCCTTCCATTTAGCAATTTTCATTGATCCATTTGACAAATTCATCCTTGGCAAATTCATCATTCCATTGGCAAAATCATCTTTCCATTTGGCAAATTCATCCTTCCATTTGGCAAATTCATCCTTCCATTCGGCAAATTCATCCTTCCATTTTGGCAAATTCATCCTTCCATTCGGCAAATTCACTGATCCATTTGGCAAATTTACCCTTCCATTTGGCAAATTCATCCTTCCATTTGGCAAATTCATCCTTCCATTTGGCAAGTTCACCGTTAATTTGGCAAAGAATGATAAAAATAGAATGATAAATTTGCCATTATTTGCCGAATGAAATGATGAATTTGCCAAATGGAAGGATGAATTGGCCAAATGGCGGAATGAATTGGCCAAATGGAATGAGTTTGTTGAAGCAAGCGATGTGCACAAATGCAGACAGTTTCGACGTTCCACATGAGTATGCCTAGCTCCAAGTACATTACAAGTCTGGTCCCAAGTAAATCATGAGTCAATCCACAAATCCAGTCACAAGTAACAGTGGATGAACAATTATAACAAATAAATAGCTTGCAATGTGACTTGGTACTAGAGGACTTATAATGGACTTGACCATAAACATTGGCTGACACTTTTCATTTTCACTATTTTTTTTCATCATTTGAATCCCCGGCACTTGTACATCCAGACTGTTTGCTGTAATAAGGCTGCTTTACATACATTGTACTTAATTAAACATGTTACGTAGTTCTCTGCTGTTTTCTCTGCTGTTCATAGTGGTGATCTAATGATCTATGAGGATGCACAGGCCAAATGAAAATATGTATTTGTGCAACAAAGAGGCAGGTTTGTGTGCATACAAATAGAAATTTGCCACTACTTTCAGATTCGATATGGTAGATTGAGTTCCTGGAAAGAGTTCCATGGACATCACTCGACACCCCGACCCTGTGCACAAACCCTATGAGACTGGTCTGAAAAATTCCAAGTGTTTTCTCAGTACAGGCATGCAACTGGGAAATCACAAAAAAAGAGGAAATTCAAATTTTTCCCAGACTTTGTACAGTGTTTTTCTATTTTCAATGGCACACATGGGAAGTATAAAAAGAGGAAATCAGCTGATCCGAGGAAAAGTTGCATGCCTGTCAGTAACTGCTTTAACAACATTTTCCCAGTAACTGCTTCAATATTTTCCCCGCTAAATTTGACTATTTAGGACACTGATGACTGGTAGGTCATTACATGGAAACAATTGTGATGTCCACATATGGAATTCTTCCGGAATTTCCCTCTATCAACCCAGCACTACAAACTTTCACTTTAGGCAGTTAAACACAAGGTGCTCTACAATTGTGTGAGCAAGCAGAACAGTCCACTGACAGTGATTCAATCACGATGACTGAAACTGATTCTGAAACTAATGCAGAAAAAAGGCAAAACTCATATGAATAATAGCTTTATTCCAACTTGTGGCGCAGACGGGATTCCCCTGGTATGAATTAATTGTTCCTCGACCTACTGGGACCTTGAATGAAAAGAAAACATGCAAATTGAATTCAGGCCAACTTTACTCACGTTTTAGCCAACAAAATTCTCCAAAATATATTTTAAAAAGCCAAGGTCCTCAGTATTTCACCAGCCAAGTTGGAAGTCTCAATTCATTTTTTTAAAGGAGTCTTTCCTTTCATATTTTGCACCTGAGAGTGAAGCCTAGCCCCATAAATGTGGCCAATTTACTGGACTGCCTCCGTAAACATAGGCCACACATCCTGTACAAAAACGTGTCGCACTTTGTCAAATTTTGATTTTCACATTTAGGCTTAGTTTGTAGGTTTTTTTGCTTTAGAAGCATACTCACCCTCTTTATAGGCTAATCAGAAAGTGCTGCCTTTTTCGAGATGTCTAATTTTTGAGAAATTTCATGTTGAAATTTTGATACGCAAATGTGTGCAAATGAATCTGGAAATTGCACGAAAAATAGACATCTGAAAAAGGCAGCACTTTCTGATGAGCCTATAAAGAGGGTGAGTATGCTTCTAAAGCCAAAAAACCCTACAAACTAAGCCTAAATGTGAAAATCAAAATTTGACAAAGTGCGACACGGTTTTGTACATGTGGATGTGTGGCCTATGTTTACGGAGGTAGTCCAGTAAATTGGCCACATTTATGGGGCTAAGTGAAGCCAAGTGATTTCATTTTGAAGTCTAGCTCACTGTCTAAGACTAGACTGGTACATGTCCAGTTGTTTAAAAAGATTGACCCTTCAGTGGTCTGGTGGCAGACTATGGAGAGATGTGTAGACCACATAGTCCGGTACCAGATGTTTCTTTTGACACAGTTGACTGATACAGTACTAATGTTGGACTGGTTGTTTCATGTGCCAGTCTATTTTCTTGTGTTGCATGTTTTAATATAAACACAGGATTAAGAGTCCCAACTTTTCGGACTAGTTCCTCAAAATACTGTTGCGTAAGATAAAAGTGTTTGAACAGGCTTTTATCAATTAAAAAAATATACGAAAAAAAAAATAAGAACATGACTTTTCACCAAACGTAATTTAAGTTGTCAATTCTGACATAGCACAACATTACAAATGTAAGTCGTCAAATATGTACTCAGTTGTCAGATATGAAATTTGCATACAAAATATTTTTAAATAACCAACTTTAAAAAAATGGATTCATGGAGTAGACTGTCTGCATTAATCTCAGTAAGTTTGACATTTATCAACTCTGAAATCAAGTTAAATTCATCAGAAAAGATTCCCATATCTCATTATCTGGCCATCACTAATATTTCCCCTCAGTGACCTATCAGCCATCAGAAAGTGACGAAAAAATAATGCAACCTGATGCCACTTTTCTCTTCATATACATTGTATTATCTCAATGAAGATTTGTCAGTGCAAAAATGATCATACGACATGAATCTGGGACTGAGAAACATTTCCAATTTTGTTATGATATACTTAGAAATAAAGTCTAAATGTGAAAATCCAAATTTGAGAAAGTTCTACATATTCGGGTACATGTTCCAAGTGTGGCCTTTATTTATGGAGGTAGTCCAGTAAATAGGCTACATTTATGGGGCTAGGGCCATGCTAGCCCCATAAATGTGGCCAATTTACTGGACTACCTCCCTAAATAAAGGCCACACTTCCACCATGTGCAAAAACATGTCGAACTTTGTCAAATTTAGATTTTCACATTTAGGCTTAGTTTGTAGTTGATTTTTGCTTTAGAAGCATTCTCACCCTCTTTATAGGCTTATCAGAAAGTGCTGCCTTTTTCAGATGTCTATTTTTTTTCGTGAAATCTCCAGATTCGTTTGCACACGTTTGCGTATCAAAATTTCAACATGAAATTTTACGAAAATTAGACATCTGGAAAAGGCAGCACTTTCTGATTAGCATATAGTATAAAGAGGGTGAGTATGCTTCTAAGTTCTAGACTAAAGCAAAAATCAACTACAAACTAAGCCTAAACGTGAAATCAAAATTTGACAAAGTTCGACATGTTTTTGTACATGGTGGAAGCATGGAGGAAGGAACGCATCCTCCATGATTTACGGAGGTAGTCCAGTAAATTGGCCACATTTATGGGGCTAGGGCCATGCATGAACTTAATAATTGGTCAGAATAAGGAAGTAAAATGTGCAACAGGAAACAGGAACTCTTTTCAGAGGGTGAACAATGGCAAAACAAAGTCTAGCCTAACATTAACAATGATCGATTACAAGCTTAAAGCAAAACGGAGCAGTGCGTTTGTAGATTACCAAATTCACATACATGTGTGTACTCTCTCTGTTATACACCTGTGGATTAAATGTTTAAATTACCTGTCAATCATGGTTCAACGCGGTGCGGGTGACTTGAGCAAGTGCAATTCCATCTTCCTTGCTGAGCTGAAGCCGGATGAGAGGCCCATGTGTTGAATATCCGTGTTTTGAGGTAGGGCGCCCTCTTGAGTTTATCCCACAAACTTGCAAGTCACATGACTTGAATACGTCGCTGCCTTCTTAAATAAAGGAATTGCTCACTTGAGTCACTAAAACAAGGTTCTACGTCTTTGTCAATGATTTCGTCTCAGCTGGAAAGGGACTTGCGTTTGTGACGATTGCAATCTAGACCTTAATTTTCACATTCGTTAACGTCATTGAATTGCAATATTTTTCCGTTTCACTGTTAAATTTGTTGGGAGTTTGTGCTGAGGTCGCATCCGGCCGGAGCCATCCCTAAAAACTGCAACATTTTCCCGGACAAGCTGACATGTGTGAACATGGCGGATGTGGACGAAGACGGAGGTTCGACCGCCTCTGAGCGGTCCTCGACATCGGCAGAGAAAACGAAAACCCCCCGGGTGGTCACCATCGTCAAGAGCGACACGGGGTTCGGCTTCAACGTGAGGGGGCAGGTCAGCGAGGGTGGACAGCTCAAGAGCATCAACGGGGAGTTGTACGCGCCGCTGCAACACGTTAGCGCGGTGCTGGAGGGAGGGGCGGCCGAGAGGGCAGGCATTAGCAAAGGGGACCGCATCCTGGAAGTGTGAGTAGGCCTATAATAAAACTTAAAAGCCTGCACTGCGGTGCCTGGCCATGGCATGGGTTGAATGCAGTAACCTGACCCCACTTTATTAATTATTTTTTTTTAAAACTAACCATGATCTTGATATTGTGAGTCATAAATATGTTTTTTTTTGTTAATTAAAAAGGGAATATTATTATTAATTAATATAGCCAATTCAACATCTCGCGTGTGAGCAATGAATTGTGGGACAGAATTTTTGATAAAGAAACTCCCATGATGACACTTGCTATCTTTTGAACTAGGACTGTGTGATGTGTTTTGTTTATCCCCCCAGAAATGCATTATTCATGAGAGTTTGCACATGAGAGTTTGCACATGCACATTTAATTGAAGAGAATTTTTGTGATTCATGGCTCTGGAGGATTTTTTAAATAAAGTCTGAAAATTGAAATGCTCCAGAGTGATAATCAGAAAAAACAGTGAAATATTCTATCATGGTGATACTTAGCCCCATAAATGTGGCCTATTTACTGGACTGCCTCCGTAAACATAGGCCACACATCCACATGTACAAAAATCGTGTCGACTTTGCCAAATTTTGATTTTCACATTTAGGCTTAGTTTGTAGGATTGTTTTTGCTTTAGAAGCATACCCACCCTCCCTATAGGCTAGTCAGAATGTGCTGCCTTTTTCAGATGTCTAATTTTTGTGAAATTTCATGTTGAAATTTTGATATGCAAACGTGTAAAAATGAATCTGGAAATTTCACAAAAATTAGACATCTGAAAAAGGCAGCACTTTCTGATTAGCCTATAAAGAGGGTGGGTATGCTTCTTAAGCAAAAAAATCCTACAAACTAAGCATAAATGTGAAAATCAAAATTTGGCAAAGTCGACACGATTTTTGTACATGTGGATGTGTGGCCTATGTTTACGGAGGCAGTCCAGTAAATAGGCCACATTTATGGGGCTAGGTGATACTTACCTACATAAATGTGCCACATTGGACTTCCTATGTTTATATTTAGAGACTCACAGCGATCATTAATTTACTGAAAATTTGTAGTTCCTGAATTTGAAATGTATACTCTTTCTCCACCTGATAGTCGCTATGGACTCTACATGTACTAACCTGAAAAAAAAAATCAAATTCTGTGCATGCACATGTGTACCTCTAGACTTCTAGTTCCATTTATTGTGTTACATTCACCTGTAAATTAAATCGTTACGAACAGTTTTAGGTAGTCTACTGCATGTTCATGTGCTTCATAATACGTTTTTAAAAGACTCGGGACTATTCATACATACATTATACATGCGCATTGTGTTTGTAGGTCAATATTTTGTTCATTGGCAAATTCCAACATCGCAAGATACTTTGCACCCTTCTGCCCTCCCACCAAAAGGGAAAACAACAAAATTCTGAATGTCAAGTTGGTATTAGCTATGAGCTTTAAAAAAAAAATTAAAAATAAGGGGGGTATGTAAAGAAATTGATGATTGATAGCAGCAAGACAGCTGAGACAAAAGTGAAAAATTAAATAATTTTTTTGTGGGCGCAGGTTATTACATGTAATACAGCTTTGGAGCAGGTGCAGTTGATTTCCAGCAGTATTATCGTAATCTTCAAAAATTTCATCATTGATTTCAATCTGCATATGTTTATGTAGGCCTACTGAATGTACAGTCAATCAGCCTGTTTGTTTGATCAGTCAAAGACAGTCAATCCTGTTCCCCTGCCATGCCTTTTACATGGACTAGTTACCAACAGTCAGATCATATTTCTTGTAGACCTGTACTGTGACAGTCAAATTCCATCAACATATAAAAAAAGGTGACTGGTAGCACAGCCGGCTTATCAATCACCTACAGTCAAAGCATAGCTATATATATCAGGTTTCATAACCATCACAGCCAGCCAATCCTGCTTTATGAAGGCAGGGAGCACTCAACTGTTGAAAACAGTCACCTGATTTATTTGACTGGGTTGGCTTTGTTAAAATGGCCAGCCTTAGTTAGAGGGAGGACAGGCAGTTAGGCACGTACATAAATGTAGGAACATTTGCAATTACCCAGAAACACACAGGCAGATTTAACAAGAAAATCCTTGCTCAAAGTGAAGATACATGTAGGACTGGTACCAAAAACCCTGTGAAAATCATTCCTCTTGAAATGGCATCATTCAGAAGAAACAAATCACTGAAGGTGGTCTAAGAAAGTGTGTCCACGTGAAATAGCAACGGAATTCAGTTACGAGACCTGAAAATTGTGCATGCGTTTCCTTTGTTTTCTCAAAATGTAAGATATCTACTGAGCTGAAACTTAAGCAAGGTAGTATGTTATGCACCCTTCTTAAAGAATTGGAGCCATTATGTTGCTTCAAACAAACAAAATACACAAAAAGCAAATGATCCTATAGGCCTACCTAAAAAGATGTATGAACTGTGCTGTAAAAAGTTGTATGTACTTGTCCACTACATGTTCCATGTATTCTGTCTTCATTATTGTTCATTTAAATTATGCAAAGGTCAGCACATCTACATGTGTACATGTACATGTACATGTACATGTATACAGCCCATACAACCACACACATAACCCATTTAATAGACTTTGCGATAAAGGGTCATTTTTGTGTGTGTACTTGTATTATTTTATCAATGGACCCTGGTCCCTGTGAAGTTTCACTTTAATTCACACTGTGAGTTTACAGTTCAGTATTTTGGTTACTATATAGGCCTACATGTTGTATTATACACGTTCTAGAGCTCTCAGAATGTCAAATACTACCAGTGGTGTTTGTGACACTTAAAGGGAATGTACATCATTGGCTTTTGTTGTAATTTTCAGAAATGAACTTATTTGAGGGGTTAGTATAATAGATCAAATATTGTTTAACTGACATGATTGAAGTTTTGTGTTCGAAAATGCTTGAAAAACCAAGAAAAACTAAAGTGTTTAAGTAGTCTGGTTCCCTGACTCCACTAAAGATAAAATGGATCAATTTATAGATGTCGGAAAAATTGAAGGTAAGGGAACCAGTCTAGCTGGTCTGCAGCCGTTCATGAACATGTAACCAATTTTTAGCAAACAAAATTTGGACTGAAAAAATTGTTAAATTTGGAGCAGTAGTTGAAAAATAGTTAGGTTTTTCCAACGGTGGTCGGCCGACCACCGTTGGAAATATACAAAAATACCATTTTCTTGAAAATGACTTGACATCAGGTGCCATAATTTTACAGGATGCTTTAGACTGTCATTTACCAACATCCTAGTAAGGTATTTCGTAAAAACTTGGTAGTTTTATTCTTCGATGTTTGCAAATGTTGTATATTCCCTTTAAAACTGGCCTACCAGTAGTTGGCAATGGCCATGAGTTTTATGATTGTCAGTATTTACGAGATGCCTTCAAGTACAGGCATTTTTCAAAGTTTATTGTCAGTCGTAATCTGAACACAGTACTTGTTCATACCATTTACAAATTACATACATACATCTACGTTTCGGGAATGTCCGCACATGTGTGTATACATACATGTATAGAGGTATTTTACAAACTGTATTTAGAAAGCTGTCATGGATGTTAACCCATAACCAATAACCCACAGTTCGTTCTATTTGCTGTATATGACGCACAACAGAGGGTGAAAACAAAGACTGCTTGGATAAAAACAGATCTGGCACCGTCAATTTAAAGCTGTCACAAGAACTTTTTAAAAATACCCATGTGTACATTTAGTGTAAAAATTTGACCGAGCTCGCACACCCGTTTGTGATACAGCAGACGATGTATCCCACATCACAGCAGTCAACAATTCATTTGTTATAACCTATCAGTATCATGCCAATAAGTCAAAAAGATAACTGCTTGTAACTTACATGTACTATGCAAGCAGTAAACTAAATCACTGCAGTATAACCTTTTTATTACTGCAAGCGTTCCTGTGTTGCAATTCTTAGTCACTAGGCAGTTGGTCAGCTCTACGAGTATGAGAACACGCAATGCTATTTTTTAATGTAAGGCAGTGTACGTATAAACGCAGTGTGTATCCGCAGTGTATATGAAGTAAACGGTTAGTTTCATAGACTGGATATGTAACAGTTGTAGACCAGTGAAATTGCAGTATAAAAATCACAATATTAGAACAAACATACCGTAAGTAACACACATGTATGTGTACATATTTTCGGTAAATTTTCGGTAATTATCTAATGCTTAACCTAACCCCCAGGCCCTTTTTGAGCAGAACCATCCTCAATCCTCCAAAATCCTCCACAATTTTGCAATTCCGCCTAAATTCTTCAAAATTGTCAGACAGTCCTGCCTCAAAATGCATTCATCCTCAATCCTCCAAAATCCTCCTCATCCCAAAATTTTGCACTCGTGTTTAAATGAAGGATAACCAACGCCAAATCCTTCAAAATCATCAGACAGTCCTGCCTCAAAATGCATTCATCGTCAATCCTCCAAAATCCTCTTGTGCTTCAATCACCATTCATCCTCAATCCTCCAAAATCCTCATGTGCTTCAATCACCATTCATCCTCAATCCTCCAGAATCCTTATTTGATTCAATCACCATTCATCCTCAATCCTCTAGAATCCTCCAAAACCGCCAGGAGGATTTTGGAGGAGTGAGGTGGGTTAGGGTTGCTGCCATATGTGTCAATCTTTCAATAAGAGTATACAGTACATTTATACATGTACTTTGCTGCAGTTCCTTGCCTTGGTACATGTAATAATAACGGGTTCTTATATAGGGCTTTTAACTAAGATCAAAGCGCTTTACATTATTATTACTCCTAATCATTGGGCCAAGTAAACATTCCATATACCATCTCAGCTCCCTGGGGAGTATACAGCTCGATGCAGCCTGTTAGGTGCAAGGAAGCTAATTCAATCACAATAACCATCACTGCCCTCATACATGTAGGTACCCATTCACTCCTGGGTGGAGAGAAGCAATGAGTGACAAAGTGCCTTGCTCAAGGGCACACGCACCATGACCCCGCCAGGAC